CGCGCCAGCCGATTTCTGTGTGTACATTAGGGTGGTCTAAAAATGCATGTGAAAAAGTAAAGTCGGAATTTGTATGCTTTAAGGTTAAATAAACAATTGGGTATTATTATTGAAAGTATCCTGAAGAGAACCAGAGTTTTCCGATCGAAAAATATTGATTTTCAAGAATTCTATACCATTTCTACGAGAAATTTAATTTTTCCCAAATAAAAAAACATGGAATACTTTGAGCGCTTTGAGCGACCTCTAAATATTTTTTGATTTTAAAAAAATAGGGGTATACTTTTTCGATATAGAACAATCCTAGGGGGTGAGAGCATTACAATTCCGACTTTACTGTCTTTAGACCACCCTAGTGTACATACACTTAAAAATCTGTTTAGTGTAGTTAAATTTGTTCATTAGGCATATGACTTTTCAACTTTGTTTTGGAAAAATTAAATCTACATGGTATGATGCAATGAGTTTTTATATGTGGGTATTTCCAAACTGGCGTTACGTGACGCTCGTATGACAAGATGTTAAAAAAAGAGAAAAAAAGTCAAAATTTAAAAAGGGTTTTCTAGATTTGCATAGAAATTAAATAGCCCATTATTCAGTAAAACAAAATACAAATGTTGGTAGTAGCGACTTAAAAATATTTTCACTTCGATTACAAATTTGCAAAACTCTGCGAATTGAGCAAGGCTATTTGTTTAAAAGCTTTTGTAGTAATATTGGAAATGTTTAACGTTGATTTTCCATGTTTTGAAATGTAAAAATCTTGTCTGCTTTGTTTAATCAGCTGAATTATCTGGCGTGACGCTACCTGGCTACGCTACTAAAATTTACGTTACGTTACTACTACTAAAATTTCCATTGAAAAAGGTTTGTTAATACTGTTCTTGAAAGGATTTTTAACGGGGTGAGAACATGCATTTTATGTCGAACGTACTTTTTATTTTGACATCAGCGCCACCACCGGTTTAATTTTTTGCAAATCTATCTCCTACTACGATTTAACTAAATATGCCAAATGTGAAACAAATCGGAGCATAAATACGGTTTTTCAAAATATCTCGACCCTGGCGCCACCGAACGAGACCATTTTTGACAAAAATTCTTCTGCTTACATAACCAGTATCTTACTAATATTATAAATGTGAAAGTTTGTATGTTTGGATGTTTGGGAAATCATCACGCGGAAACGACTGAACGGATTTGCATGAAATTTTGTACTTAGATAGCCTATGGGCCAGATTGATTAATAGGCTATTTTTTTAAGAGTTGCCACCTATTAAAGAAGTTAAATTTATTTAATATGCGGGAACACCGGACGTATTTGCCTGAAAGTTTGCACACAGATAGCTTATGACCTAGGTTGGAAAATAGGCTACCTTTCTTAAGAGTTGCCACCTGTTAAAAAAGTTTAATTAAATTAATACGCGGAGACGACTGAACGAATTTGCATGAAATTTTGCACACGGATAGCTTATTCGCTAGGTTGGAAAATACGTAACTTTTTTTAAGAGTTGCCACCTGCTAGAAATATTTAATTTAATTAATTTAATTTTCCACAGATAGCTTATGAGCTAGGTAGGAAAATAGGCTAATTTTTTTAAGAGTTGCCACCTGCTAAAAAAGTTTAATTAAATCTTACTAATATTATAAATGTGAAAGTTTGTATTTTTGGATGTTTGGCAAATCATCACGCGGAAATGACTGATCGGATTTGCATGAAATTTTGTACGCAGATAGCCTATTGGCCAGATTGGTTAATAGGCTAATGTTTTTAAGAGTAGCCACCCGCTAAAAAAAGTTTAATTTATTTAATATGCGCGAACGACTGAACGGATTTGCTTCAAAGTTTGTACACAGATAGGTTATGACCTAGATTGGAAAATAGGCTACTTTTCTTAATAGTTGCCACCTGTTAAAAAAGTTTAATTGAATTAATACGCGGAAACGACTGAACGGATTTGCATGAAAGTTTGCACGCAGATAGGTTATGACCTAGGTTGGAAAATAGGCTATTTTTCTTAAGAGTTTCCAATTGTTAAAAAAGTTTAATTAAATTAATACGCGGAAACGACTGAACGTATTTGCAATAAATTTCGCACACGGATAGCTTATTACTAGGTTAGAAAACAGGTTACTTTTTTAAGAGTTGCCACCTGTTAGAAATGTTTAATTTAATTAATACGCGGAATGAGGGAACTGATTTGCATGGAAGTTTTCACACAGGTAGCTTATGAGCTAGGTAGGAAAATAGGCTACTTTGTTAAGAGTTGCCACCTGCTAACAAAGTTTAATTAAATTAATACGCGGAAACTTCTGAACGGATTTGCATGAAATTTAGCAAGCAGATAGCTTATGAGCTACAGTGGACAATAGGCTACTTTTTTAAGAATTAACACCTGTTTGAAAATGAAATTTTGCTCACAGATGGTTTATGACCTGGATTGAAAAATAGGCTACTTCCTTAACCGGTTTCCCGATCAGAACTAAATTTGGTAAACTTACTACGGATTTCGCAAGGATGGTCTTAGACTGAAAGTAATTCGATAACTCAAGGCCCCTCCCATACAAATTGGAATTTTCATATTACATACATATTTCTGAAGTATTTGTGGGAAAGAACTAAAACTTGTGTATAGAGCATACCTTTGGCAATAATCGATTAATTTTTTAATCAGATTAGTTAATTCGATTAAATTCAATCTGATTACAGTTAATCATGATTAATTTTAATCTGACGAAACAGTTAATCGTAACCGCCTTAATTTAAGCCTAAGTGGAAGGTTCAATCACCTTTTGTTTCATTGATAGAGCTTCTCAAATATTGCAAAAAAGCAATTTTTTGACACTTTCACCACATTCTCTCAAAATCTGGAGCTGATGGAATCTTTATACTTACGTATTCTCAATTAGCACAAAAAAGCCTATCAACGCTTCAACATTTGCCGCATCAAAATCGGTGTTGGCCTGTGTTACCTACACTAATTATATAAAGAAAAGCTCCTTCTTTTTATAAGAGGTGATCTCGCGAACGGCTGAATCGATTTTTTGAAATTTTGGACACCTACTGCAGACTTTCGATATATTAAAGGAGCGTGGCATCACCCATACATATCGAATTTTTCATACCGTATATCTCTGAAAGTATTTGTGGTAGTGTCCTGGAAATTGGTATAGAGATTTTGGGGCTACTGGAAAAGGGACGTGGCGCTTTCCAAACATTTTGAAACTTTTATCTATCTGTAAATATATACACCCATAATACAGTGTTCTGTTCTTTTTCATAATACATTTTTTTGTTAATTTTTATAGAAATGTAGTTCATTTTGTATCAAATGGCACCAAATTTTGAGTATGCAGTTTTGTAGTTCACTCAATTTCAGTATCATAAAGTGCAAGTTTTTAATGGCTGTGAGATACCGTTGATTTTTGAGAATTTTTTCGCTGATGATGTTGCGCATTTTCTCCGTATAAACGAATGCGTGAGAGTTTTTATGTATGAGAAAAAATGCCGAAGAGTGTCAGTATGTAAAAGATTTAATCTGGTGGCTTAACTCCTCCTAAACGACCGAAACGATTTTAATGATAATTTTTTAATGATACTTTTTAGTGGCGCTGGAGCCGAGTTATTGCTAAAAATCATCGATTCGCAGGCTCCAGATATCAAAGTCAAATTACTCCCGTTAAACCAACCATCAGAGACATTGTGATCCTTGCCTTACGGTGACTATACAGAATGTGGACCAATGATTCTCACCAGTTTGGAAATTGCCACCAACTATACTATACATATTCAAACGACGATTCACTATCGAGCCGCAATGACTTCTTCACGGTATAATGCTTTCGTCAGGTTATTTAAGACGGCAATGGAGGATAGAAGGCATATCCACAAAACCAAACGTGTACGTGAATTGCTGGCGATAACGTTGGACCAAATGTTTCAATAAAAAAAATAAATTTTGGGCGGGACGAAGTTCGCCGGGTCTGCTAGTATATTATAAAAAGCAGCCAAATCGGCCTATAAATATGTTAGATATAGGACTTTTATTTTTTTTAAGCGGTAGACTCCTCGCTTGATTCGCCCATATACATAAAACCGAGGTATGATTTCAATTTAAGAAAATTTTTCAACAACCTCCCGGATTACATTAACCTAGTGTCATCATATTTACATTGTTTAAATGAAAAATGGGTAGGCAGGTCAAAAAAACACGAAACTGGATAAAATAATTACCACCACAAGGCTGACTAACATATTCAAGGAATTTTTAAAATGTTAGAAAACTAGCTGCTGAATTAGCTGTCACAGTAACTACTACTATCGTCGACCTAGAGCCGTTATCATACATACGAGAGCGATTCTTGCCATTTTAGCCTTTATTAACTTGCCAAAGTTTAAAGCTTAATTGCTTCCAATTAATATGCAGTGCATGGTATAATGTTTGGTTCCGCTTTCATGAAAATGATTTTGAGTTCCTTAACAAATCTGTCCTTCAGTTTATATAGGTACACAACTGCTATTTAAGGCACTGGGTAAAAGAGAAAACTGCTATTGTTAACCAGCAGGGTAGTAAAATTTGTGCAGAACAAACAATTAAGGTGGTTGAGGAAGTATTTTGTACCTAAAAAATGCCGCGTAAATTTATGATTTATGCATACAAGCCTTTATAAATGCGTATTTAAAAATTAATTGAAATAAATTTATTTAAACTGAAGTGGACAGTTTAAAAGTGTTCCTGCGGGAGGTTCTTTGACAAATTGACACAAAAACATTATTTTTGTTGTCTTTAATTATTTCTAAGCATCGAGTAATAGGTACAATTTTTCGCAAAAATTTCTTATGCCTATTGTTCATCCTTACGTTAACATACATACATATGTATAGTAAAAAGTCGTATTAAACTTTAATAATTAAGGTAATAGAAAATTTACGACAGTAAAAAATTAAATAAACTTTCAACGGCTGTCAACACTACGTTAGTATCGTTAGTATCACATACCTGTCCGCCTTCACCTTCAACGCTGACCAAATCTCTCCATTCCTCTATAGTTTGCGCCAAATCAATAGTGCAGAGTGGTACCTTAACTTCGCCAATTTGATCGTGTTTGGAGAAACGATCGAAATCGAAGATAGCGAAGACGAGAGTCTTGTTCATGGCATCGGCATAAGGTAAGCCCTAGACAAGAGAAATTGAAAATAATAATATTTAATACTGAAACTATAAAAATTGTTTGCAAATAGAAATGTAAAAATCACCTTAAATGTAAACGTTTCATTAAAGACGGGGCTCAACGTTTTGCGATGTACTTTCGTTTCGAATTTCTTTTTCTTGTCAGGCAGCAGATAAACTTTAACATATGGATCCGACGTTCCGCCCATATCAAGAGCTGGCAATTCTTCAGCTTGTATAACGGTGACCGCAAGGCTGTTTGAGTTGAAGTCATATTCGAGCTGTTATATCAGAACAAATAAAGAGCAAAGTGGAAAGAAAAATGAAAAAAAAACAATACAAAAATGTTCGAAGAAAGTATGAAGTTAAGTCCAGGAATCCAGTAGGTTGCAAATTTTTGGAGCAGCGATATAAGAGTAAAATATGATTATTAGTATTAATAAGAATATTTGTGAATGTTTGTACATATGTATGTATGAAAAAATTGGAATAGATATGTACATGTATGTTTGTTTACATATGTAAATAAATAAAAATGTATGTATGACCATGCACGGCGTGTGCCGGACCAGGCCCCAAGAAACCTTGTTTTAGTAAATCTTATATATAGATAGGCAAACATGTTTTCTTTACACCCCTTTTACGGCTAAATCAAACTTCTAAGGTGTAAAGAATTATATAAGCGCAAAATGACTCAAATTTCATATTAGTATGTTTATAGAAAAGTTGTTATCGAGCTGAAGTCATTCTCGATCAAAATTACTAGGTAGCACCACTCTATGACTGCAAAATGTACAAATCGCAAGATTTAGGTAAAGATTAATACAGGGATGAAGGTAAATTTGAATATGTAGATGAAGAAGACTCAAATAAATGTAAAGAAACTTAGAGATAAATACAAAGACGAATGTAAATTTAATACTTGATATAATGACCAGGGCTGGCAAAAATATGTCTGAAAAACCTGAAAATATGCGCCATAAAAAGCTCAATAAATCACCAGAATGTGCTATTAAATATGCTAAATCAATGAGCCTTTATCTAATTTTTACAATATTTTTATTCAATAATCTCGGAATTACAGTGTAAAATAACATGCTTTTTAAATTATCAATCGAAATGACCTTCTCTGGTCATTTAAAATTATTGAATAAATCGAAAAACTCCTTTCCACTTCCGTAGATGTATGTAGTTGGACAAAATTTAAATAAACTGAATCCTGCTTGGGAGTATTTCGATAGATCTTCACTCCTAGTTGCGGAGCCCGAAAATTAAATATCTCTAATATTAGCAATTGTGGTATAGCCAAGGCTTCTGGCCAAAATACTTTCAAGTTTTTTTTTTGTAATATATAATGTCAAACCGTTTGTTTGAAACTTTGTTATACCTACCATGAAACTACCAAAATTGCCTTAATAAACTCTCCTAGCTTTATTAGTATGTAGTATGTATGTATACTTGCATTGTATCAAGGCGAATTCATACAAGCTGGTAGCAGGATTATAAAAAACATATGCATGAATGCCCCTTTTTCACGAACCTATCGTCTCTTTTTCGCCGAAAATATATGAAATGTTTCCAAATATGCAAAAATATGCACGTAAGTCGAGTATATGAGAAAACCAACAAAATTTCCAAAAAAATACGCAGATTAAGCTTTTTCAAGAATTTGCATATTTTTGCCAGCCCTGATAATGACAAAGGTGGGAGTAAATATGTAGATGAAGAAAAGAATGAAGACAAAGATCGGGATATTGGTAAAGGAAAGTAAAATAGTTTGCTTAACACATGAAAAAGAGTGGAAAAAGCAACAACAGTTTACGTGGAAACCTCAGCTCAGTGGGTAGACTACTGGCTTGGGTCGCTGTATCGAATCCCAATGAAGAAGTCTGATAAGGAGATGTGGTGATTTCCGAAATAGCAGCTATAACTTCTACTTAAATTTAAATTGGTTGTTTCTCCACAAAAATTTTTATTATAAACGGTCTCAAGCTCAATAAAATTGTTACAAGGCCATAAATTAACAAAAACAAATAACTTAAGAACGAGCACACCTAAAAGTTAAACATTCTAAAAATAGAACTATTAACAAAAAACCAACAACCACATGATCAAGTGAAAATAGCAGCGAAATAGCTGGCCTTGATTGAAATGGGCTTAACACATGAAAAAAGTGGGAAAAGTAACAACAGTTTACGTGAGGAACTTAGCTCAGTAGAGCTAAGTAAGTAGAGTACTGGTTTTGGATGCTAAGGTCGCTGTATCGTATCCCAGTGAAGAAGTCTGATGAGTAGATGTGGTGATCTCCGAAATAGCAGCTATAACTTCTACTAAAATTTAAGTTACTGCGTTTTTTCACAAGGGTTTTCATTAAAAACGGCCCCAAGCTCAATAAAATTGTTGAATATGATTTTTATAAGGCCATAGAAAACAAACAAAAAAACTGGATGAGCACACCTAAAAGTTAAACATTCTAAAAATATAATGATTAACAAAACACCAACAAAACCAACAACCGCATGATTAAGGGCCGGTTACTCAATGTCTGGTTAACACTAATCTCCGGTAAAACATCGTTGTCGACGTTACCCACTCCATGTTATATGCATGGAGCCGAACACGTCGATAATGATGTTTAAACGGAGATTAGTGTTAACCAGACATTGAGTAACCGGCCCTAAGTATCAAAAGCAGCGGAATAGCTGCGCCTGATTGTAGTTGGCTTAACATATAGATGGGCAAACTCAGCTCATTTGTACTGTGCTGGCAGCGGGCACTTCTGCGGGCTACAGGGGCTTGATGAAGAGGGATGCCAAAGCCCGGGGGAAAGGGAGAAAATTTGAGCGAGTTGCAGCTGTGTATGTTGGACAGTGTTGCCACCGACAAATTTTAGTGGTGGCCAGATTCGCTTTTAAAAGTGACTAAACTTTGCTAAACATTTTAGCTTTTGGCTAAAAAAATGGCTAAAAACTTTCATTGCAGATGAAAATTTTTTTTTCTAATTCAGGTACAAAATTATTTACATATAATGTACACTGGCCGGAATTGGATTTTTTTTTTGGTATAAATTCAAGATTTTTATAGCAATATATTCTTGATATCAGTTAAAAATAGCTGATAAAAGTACATATGTCGACTAAGAAAATTTCCAAATAACAGATTTGAAGCACCAACCCTGTGCTTTCAGTGCGCTCTCAAAGTCACGTGTATGATCAGCTGCTATTTTGTCTGAATTGGTGCAAAATTATTAGTCAGATGTGATGAGCTTGTGAAAGGTTGCGTTAATATAAATAAACAAAGTTAGATATGGAAAGCAGAGGTTAAGGTATTTCTAATAATAATTAGTCAAAGTGCATATAGTGTGTGTGTTTGTTTGTTGTTATTTAATGTGTTTGTAGTCCATATTTAAAGAAAAATACTAAACAATATTTTTGTGGCCCGCGGAGTACAATTAGCAAGCTGACAAGTTATGACGCGAACTAATATTAACAAGTAAGAAAGTCTAAGTTCGGGCGGAGCCGAACATTAAATACCCGGCGCAAATATTATATATATGTTTTTTCACCTTTCCGAAACCTACCGCTAGATGGTAAGCCGGGGTGTATCAATTTTGAGTAAATTAGCGTCCTTCAATTTCGAAATATTAAGGTTTCAAGCATTTCTGAAATTTACCGTTATATGAAAAGCGGCCGTAATTTTAGTCCGATTTCAATAATTTTCAATGCTTTGCTTTCATGTGGCAAGCACAATAACCACACCAATTTTGGTACGAATTGGTAGAACGGTTACCGATATACATATATGTGATCATAAGTGGGCGGTGCCCCGCCCATTTTCAAAAATTTTACCATAAACGTATTTCTTGGTAAAGAATTGTTGCAAGCATCAATTTTGAATAAATTAGCTTCAATATTTACTGATTTATCGAAGATTTTGTATTTCCTAAGATAAACACATGTAACCATAAGTGGGCGTGGCTACGCCCATTTTCCAAAAATTTATAATATTCTTATTTTTCGTCGAAAATTATAGTAAATATCAATTTTGAGTGAATTATTTATCAGTAGTTACTAAAATATCACAGTTTTCGTATTTCTGGAAATTACCGTTATATGGGAAGTGGGCGTGGTTAAAGTCCGATTTCGCCCATTTTCAATACCAACCTACCTTGGATTAAGGGAAACCTACATACCAAATTTCGTTGAGATATCTCAATTTTTGCTCGAGTTATCGTGTACACGGACAGACGGACAGACGGACAGACGGACAGACGGACGGACAGACAGACATGGCTTAATCGATTTCTTTTTTCATCCTGATCATTTATGTATACATTTGTCTATATCTATCTCGATTCGTTTTGGCTGTTACAAACAACCGTTATGTGAACAAAATTAATATACCCTTGTGCACAAGTGCGCTCGGGTATAAAAAAATGCTTAATAATAATTAGATTTTATTTGAGTAATAACAGTTTTTGCTCGTTGTTGCTCCCTTTTCCAAAATTTAACATTTTAAGCGAAGTACGCGTAGAAATCTATCGTCCTTACATAGAATAAAGCAAATTCGTTCAGTTCAGTTTCTTAAAAACTACTGAACGGATTTGTGAAAATTTTTTAAAGGGGGTATGTATTATCTTTTGGCCTGAAAATTTCTATAGGGTCCCCATCTGTCCAAAAAATTACAAAATCCGCACCTTTCGTTGGATTACAGAAAATGAGGTGTCAAATGAATGTGATTGGCTAGATGTCCAATAATGTATTATCTTTTTAGTAGGGCTGCCACCATTTTAAAAATTATAATATCTTCACAGTTAGTTGGACTAAAAATGAGGGGCAAAGAGAAAGGATGCGGTCCCCGGGGTTGCCGCCTTTTTAAAAATTACTACCTTATATATACATATGAATTTTTTGTTAATGACATCAGATTTCTACAGTTGAATTTGCAAACAAGTAATTTTTAAGCAAAAAACAAAACCTACTTCAAATCTCATATAATCCAATGATCGGATCTAAATCAGATTAGTATGGGACCACCTCTGAGACACTACCTTTCCGATGCAAAAAGAATTTTCGAAATCGGTTGGAAAAAAATATTCCGGCGAATTGATAACCTCCTCCTTTTTTGAAGTCGGTTAAAAATAAGGCGTCAAGAGCTTGGCCTATAGATGTACAAAACATTTTTATTTTTCCATAAGGGTTGCTTGAAAAGTCGAAACGAAAGAGTGCTAAGAAATCTTTAGTTTGAATATTTAAGATTGGTATCAATCGAAATACGTTTG